GGATTATATGACAGTGTGGACTCAGCTAACCCAGTTCAAAGCAGATATTGTGGATTATCTGTCTTGGTATTCTGATTTATATGGCTGTGTGGAAGGGCCCAAAGTCTCCTAGCACAAATCTATTGTCAACTTTTGCTGGAAGCTGACCACAAGGTTGCATCAGAGGACCTAGAGATTTTTCAGAGAGATATTTTCTCTAGAAATCTCTAGGTCTTCCAACATGGCTGAAGGAAGTTGACCATTGTGTCACAATTGAGGACCTAGACATTTCTAGAGGGAAATTGTTTAATCCAATCCATGAATAATCAAATATATGAAAGTAAAAACTGCAAATATGGAGGGATGACTGTAATATGACATTCAATTTGTCCCAATGGCTGCAATTGTTTCTCCACCACTACTTTGAATGTTTAGTTTAGGAGGGCAACTGAAAGGTCTGAAAACCATGAATCCCTATGAGGAGCAGCTTAAGGAGCTGAATATGTTCAGTTTACAGAAGAGAGGATTAGGAGGAGACATGATAGCCATGTTTAAATACTTGAAAGGATATCATAAAGACAAGAGAGCAGAATTGTTTTCTGCTGCCCTGGAAATTAGGGCTCAAAAGAATAGGTTCAAATTACAGGAAAAGAGATTCCACCTAAACATTAGGAAAAATGTTTTGACTATAAGAGGTGTTCAGCAGTGGAACTCACTGCCTCAGAGTGTGGTGGAAGCTCCTTTTTTGGTGGCTTTTAAACAGAGCTTGGATGGCCATCTATCAGGGGTGCTTTGTGCTTTTCCTGCATGGCAGAAGGAAGTTGGACTGGATGACCCATGTGGTGTCTTCCAACTATGATTCTATGACTCTTTAGATTACTCTATCCATATTATTAATTCATGTTTACCTTATCTCTATAGCTTAAATGCATTGGGCTTTGCCTTGGGATGCTCTTAAAAGAATATGTTTCAGTCGTTTTCTTTAGTAGTGTCGTAAGCGATGGAGGATAGTACGGTTTCACGTCTGGGAGGGTTCTGTCATGACGCTGCTGGAAGATGGGCATTTTCTTTCTGCCTTCCCCTTTGAAACTGTAGGTTGGCCCCACTGGATTCAGCAGGGCATCTTGAAGAAAGTCTCTTATGGAGTAAGTACCTGGTACTGGTGTTGGCTGGTGGAAAGAAACAGAGCATTAAACCCTCCTATGCTATCTGCATCCAGGGTCTCCAGAATCAAGAGGCAGGTTGTAATTGTTTTCTCCTCTCATGGGTACAGTTGGACATCTTCCCTATTTGCATGTTTGACCTTTGTGGGCTTGCTTATGCGCGGATTAGATTAAAATGTTATCTGTAGGAATCTTCCAGAGATAACATTTTAATCGAATCTTCCAGTGCAATTTGACCTTAAGAGTCACAACGAAGGACCTAGACTGGTGGTTCTCAACCTGTGGGTCCCCAGATGTTTTGGTCTACAACTCCCAGAAAACCCAGCCAGTTTACCAGCTATTGGGATTACTGGGAGTTGAAGGCCAAAACATCTGTGGACCCACAGGTTGAGAATCACTGACCTGGAGATGCCTAAAGAGAACAACTCTCTAAGAATATCCAGGTCCTTCAGTAGAATTCTAAGGCCCGTTTTCCGCAGATGTTGACTATAGAGCTGTATTGAAGACCTAGAAATTCCTGGAGAAGCTTTAAATTCACTTTCACAAGTGTCCTATGCCTCTAACATTAGCAAATGTGGAAGGCTGGCTGTACTTGCAACAGCAGAGCAAGTGTTCATTTTCCCATCATTGCCATTCAAATGTCCTTGACAATGAAGAATACTGGTATATACTTAGAAGATGTGGCAGTAAGAAAAGCCAATGTAATTCTAGGTTTCATTAATAGGAGTATAGCGATTCATTTAAGAGAAGTCATTGTCCCACTCTATTCTGCATTGGTCAGACTTCACCTGTGTCCAGTACTGGGCATCACAATTCAAGGATATGGACAAGAAGAAATGTGTCCAGTGAAGAGCCATCAAAATGATGAAAGGTCTGGAAGCCAAGCTTTATGAGGAATGGCAGAGGGAGCTGGATATGTTAGCCTGGAGAAGAGCAATGAGGTGATGTGAAAGGAAGGAGTTGAGAAAGGAGAAATAACTCTCTTCTTTCATTGATGAGGCAATACGGGATATAGTCATGACAGGTGGCAAGCACCACAAAGACCAGAATAACATGGCAAGATATGTGCCCCCCCCCCCCCCGGGTCTCCAAGCTGCCTGAAACCAAGGATAGTGATGTAAACAGCTGCAGCCACTTCCCAAATATGAAATGACACAGCTGCTTACATGGGCCTGAAATCACGGTATATTTCAAATTTTTAGGAAAAATTCAGAGCAACTCATGACTTCTTTTAACACATTTCAAGGCCACGGTAACCCAGATCAGCTCCACATGTCATACATTTGCAACAGAGCTGATTGGCCCTAAAGCAGTGGTTCCCAACCTGTGGTCCATGGACCACCAGTGGTCCATATGAACTAAAATATGGTCTGTGACCTCACCATTACTACACTGTTGCAACGAGAGTGACTGGTCTCGCAAAACCCTGCCAAGGCTTATTAAATATGGTTTTTTGTGGGTGAGCAGATTGCGGCCACTGGTTGGCATATATTCTATATCAGAAACTAGAGCTGATGTGATCTATCCAATGCAAGTTTTTGAATCAGCACCCCAAATAACCAAACCGAATCTAAAGTTGACCATAAACTGATTTGTAACCCCTTTGGTACTAATGCTGGAGAGTGGTCATTGGTCAAAGTGATCCCTAGTCAAAAAGTGCATCTACACTGTGGAATGAATGTAGTTTGACACCTTCTTAACTACCATGCCTCAATGCTACGGAATCATGGGAATTTTATTTCATCTTCTCTGCCCAAGAGTGCTCGTGCCTCCTCAAACTACAATTCCCATGATTCCAAAGCATTAAAGTAGTGCCACATTGAATTCATTCTACAGCCATTCAGCAGTGGAACTCTCTGCCCTGGGGTGTGGTGGAGGCTCCTTCTTTGGAAGCTTTTAAACAGAGGCTGGATGGCCATCTGTCAGGGGTGCTTTGAATGCAATATTCCTGCTTCTTGGCAGGGGGTTGGACTGGATGGCCCATGAGGTCTCTTCCAACTCTATGATTCTATGATTCTACAGTGTGGATGCTCCCTTACATTCACTTTCTGCCTACATTTAAAAAAAATTCATAACACATCTTCCTTTGTTGTTAAATGTTTGTTTGACAATATCTTAGTGAGTTGCCTCCAAAATTAGCCATATTAATCCCTGACCCTCTGAAATCTATGACTGGCATCAATTTTTAACCAATGCCCTTGATTTCAATGGGTCTGCTCTAAATATGACACCAACCCACTCTTATATTTTTAGGTCCCAAGTCAAAATGTTATTATTCATCCAGGCATTTGAAGCATGTCATATCTGTAAGCTTTTATCTTTTGTATTTTATGGCCTTTTAAATTATTTTATTGAAGGGAAGATCATTTATTTCCACTCTGTGACATTTTCACATAAAATGGCAATAGGTCTTGTTAAAGGCATTTTGTTTCCTGGAAAAAAAGGATAAAATAGTTCCTGGAAAAAGGAGGAAATGGTACAGTTCTTTGGGCTTACTCACACTACATAACAAAAGCAAGCTGATGGCACTATCATTGCCATGGCTCCATCCTATGGAATCTTGGGATATGTAGTTTTACAAAGTGCCCTGATTCTTGTTCTGTTGAACGAGACTTCTCAAGATTCCATAGGATAAATCATGGTAGTTAGAATGGCTTCAAATTGGTACAATAATGTAATGTAGATACATCCTTTGTCTTGCTACTTTTCCTCAGGCTATTTATGCCACATTCTGTGAAATGGTAAAGCCTGGTTCCAATATATCCACCAATAAAATCATTCTGCCCATGTCAAATTACAAACAAGCATTAAAAAAACAAATCAATACTTGTGTTAAACTGGTTGTTAGCAGATTAAGGCACAATATCAGGACTTCAGGACAACCAAAAAACCCCCCAAGATCACTGTTAAAAAAATTTACAACAGAAAGACAGACAAAAATGGATGGAAGACTCAGAATTTCAAATAAATAGAAATGTGAAATACTTAGGAATTTGGCTAACAGACAAGGTGTCAACAGGGGCAGCTCAACCAATTACACAAAGTAAGCATTTGCAGTATAGTTGATTTTGCCCAGGGGAGCTCTTGAAGCGCTCTTGGGTGAAAATAGACCTAGACATATACGAGTTGTAGTTACTGGCATGTATAGTTCACCTACAATCAAAGAGCATTCTGAACTCCACCAATGATGGAATTGAACCAAATATGGCACACAGAACTCCCACGATGAACAGAAAATATATATCAGTGATTGGTTGGGGGGGGGGGCAAAATACTGTTTGCTTACCATTGAAAATTACCTAGGGCCGCCTCTGGGTGTCAACAATATTTGAAAACAATTATGGCCAAGTTTGGAAGGAAGTAAGGAAGGATCTTTTGAATTGGAAAAAAAATAAGTTTTCTTTACTAGGAAGAATTGCAGCAATAAAGATGAAGGTGTTACCAAAGACTGTTTCATACCGTGCCAGTAACCTTAGATGAAACCCATTCACCTAATGGAGAAAGGATATCACAAATGTTGTATGGAATAGAGAAAAAAGGCAATATTCAAGTGGGAAGTTCTTGCTGACAATAACCAAAGAGGTGAACTCAGTCTACCAGATCTGAAATTGTATTGTGAAGCATCTGCTATTTCATGGATGAGGGGATTAATGATGCCAGAACAGGCATGGGCAAACTCCAGCCCTCCAGGTTTTTTGGATTTCAACTCCCACAATTCCTAACAGCCCACTGTCAGGAATTATGGGAGTTGAAATCCAAAACACCTGGAGGACTGTAGTTTGCCCATGCCTGTGCTAGACGATTAGAGAATTTTGACCATAGAAGGTTATGATTTACCATTTGAATGGCATGCATATATTTGGCACAACAAATCCAAAATTTGAACATAAGACAGCACTCTGGATTTCACCACATAAAGCTTTCTGGGCGATAAAGAAAGAAGACAAAAAAGAATGGATAAGATACAAGAAGATACTCAAGTTCATAAATAATCAACTTCCCGGCTATGGAACGCCCTCCCTAAAGATATCAGATCGGCCCCCTCCCTTCTAACATTTCAAAAGAGAGTCAAGACTTGGCTCTGAGCAGGCATTTCCAAATACAGTGTAACAGACATAGGAAAATGGAATGGTTGTGCAATGTGATTGGATAATGTTTTTAATAGGAGACCCTAATGTTCATGTTTTTATTGATTTTGTTATGGTTTTATTATCTGATTGTTTTTAATTGTATTGAAATTGTATTTTATGGTCTTAGCACCAACTGTAAACTGCCCCAAGTCGCCTGCGAGCTGAGAGGGATGGTATATAAATCGAGTAAATAAATAAATAGAGTAAATCAACCTATGATAAAATCAAGAAAAGGATTGAAGTAAGAAGGGTTAAACATTGGATGGTTCACTTATGAGCAAATCAAACAGAAATTTAAACAAAATCTCCAATACTGCTTTGAAAAAGAATTGACTGAGTGGGGGAAAAATATTATGGCCAGAAAGAAATAAACAGATAGTATGCAGAGGGGATCAGGACCCCCCATTGGTGATTGCACTAAGGCTCTAGGAAGCCAGAAGATATGTTTCCCATTGTTGTTTTTGTTGACTTTCAAGCCATTTCCAACTTATGGCAACCCTAAGGTGAGTCTATCACAGGTTTTTCTTGGGAAGATTTGTTCAGAAGAGGTTTGCTGAGAGAATTCCAACCTATTGACAGAGGTATGAACAGAGACATTGGCTTTTTGGCAAATTACATTTCCTTCTCATTATAGTGACATATGTCAAAAAACATCTTCCTAAAATCTCTTACTTTAACAGAACTGTTATATAAACAAAATACGACATGTTGACACTTCATGTCTAACGGGCCACCTTCTTGGCAGAGCTGTGTCACCTTGCACAACTCTGGACAAGTTCACACATTGCATCGTTTTGTATTACATCAGTGTTTCTCAACCTTCCTAATGCCACGACCCCTTAATACAGTTCCTCATGTTGTGGTGACCCCCAACCATAACATTATTTTCGTTGCTACTTCATAACTGTCATTTTGCTACTGTTATGAATCATATTGTAAATATCTGATATGCAGGATGGATTTTCATTCACTGGACCAAATATGGCCCAAATACCCGATACACCCAAATTTGAATACTGGTGGGGTTGGGGGGAATGATTTTGTCATTTGGGAGTTGTAGTTGCTGGGATTTATAGTTCACCTACAATCAAAGAGTATTCTGAAGTTCACCAACGATGGAATTGAACCAAACCTCACACACAGAACTCCCATGGCCAAGAAGATATACTGGAAGGGTCTGGTGGACATTGACCTTGAATTTTTGGAGTTGCAGTTCACCTACAACCAGAGAGCACCATGGACTAAAACAATGATGGATCTGGACTAAACTTGCACAAATATCCCCAAATGTGAACACTTGTGGAGTTTGGGGAAAATAGACCTCGGCATTTGGGAATTTTGGTTGCTATTTTATTTCACCCACAATGAAATAGCATTCTGAACCTCACCAATTATAGAATTGGACCAAAATTCCCACACAGAACCCCATGACCAACAGAAAATACTGTGTTTTCTGATGGTCTTTGGTGACCCCTCTGACACCCTTCACGACCCACACAGGGGTCCCGACCCCCAGGTTGAAAAACACTATATTACACTCTGATCCCACCTGCACAACTATGCAACTATATTTAAATATCTGTGGCTTGAATTTTGCATTCCAACAATGCATCTGAAGTGGGTTGAAATCTACAAAAATCAATGCTAAAATAATTCAGCTTTAAATGTGCCACTAGACTCCTTTTCCTCCTTTCCTTTTCATATTAAATCAGAATTGAATGTCACACTCTACAATTGTGCACCACCTCCACAGATTGGTTATTGCATTGTTTCTTCTTTTCTGATGCAGTTAATAATTAAATGAACAATTATGCGTACCCTCAGCGATTCTTTCCACCATTCATCTCTTCTAACTTCAGGTGTTCTTTTGCTCCTGTCGATTGCCTTCAAGAAACCCAGATTAGACATTCAACACATAAACTATTTTAAAATAGTCCTTTGGCCGGAAACACTCATATTTAATGTACCTATGAAGCACACACCAAACTTCTCACACATGCTAAAAAATATAAAACCAAGATCGATATGCATTTAAAGGGCCATCCTCCATTGCACCAAACTAATAAAAATTTAACATCAACTATGGAGAATTTATTGTGGTATCTCAGTGCAACAAGGTCTATAGATTTTTTTTCCGCATGTGTCAGGTTTTCCTTGGTTGTGGCACTCCTCTTGTAGAATCTTCTTCTCTAGAAACCTAGGCCATGATTTTAGATTAGCTACTTAGGTATATAAACTACTTTGGTTAGATAGATAATGAGTGTCTTTCAACTTTATCACTCAAATTCTGGTTTATTATGACAGCAGTTGCTGCAAGCAACAGAGTCTTGTTCTCCTGCCAATCAGAACAAAGCAGACTGCTGTTTTCACCCATCATAAATTCCCATTCCACTGGCCATTACTTAGGGAATGGCATCAAATTGGGAGGGATAGCCAATACCCCAGAAGATGGGAACAGAATTCAAAATTATCTGAACAGATTGGAGAGATGGGCCAAAACTAACAAAATGAAGTTCACTAGGGAAAATGCAGGATACTCTACTTAGGCAAAAAAAATGAAATGCAAAGATACAGAATGGGGGACATGTGGCTTTACAACAGTATGTATGAAAAAGATCTTGGAGCCCTTGTGGACAACAAGTTAAACATAAGCCAATAATGCCATGTGACGGCAAAAGAAAGCCAATGGGATTTTGGCCTCCATAAATAGGAGCATAGTGTCCAAATCCAGGGAAGTCAATTTACCCCTCTATTCTGCCTTGGTCAGACCACATCTGGAATACTGTGTCTAATTCTGGGCACCACAATTTAAGGGAGATGTTGACATGCTGGAATGTGTCCAGAGGAGGGTGACCAAAATTATCAAAGGTCTGCAGAACAAGCCCTATGAGGAGCAGCTTAAAGAGCTGGGTATGTTTAGCCTTCAGAAGAGAGGACTGAGAGGAGACATGATAGCCATGTATAAATATGTGAGGGGAAGTCATAGGGAGGAGGGAGCAAGCTTGTTTTCTGCAGCCCTGGAGATTAGGACGTGGAACAATGGCTTCAACTACAGGAAAGGAGATTCCACCTGAACATTAGGAAGAACTTTCTGACTGTGGAGCTGTTCAACAGTGGAACTCTCTGCCCTGGAGTGTGGAGGAGGCTCCTTCCTTGGAGGCTTTTGAGCAGAGGCTGAATGGCCATCTTTCAGGGGTGATTTGAATGCAATTTCCCTGCTTCTTGGTGGGGGTTGGATTGGATGGCCCACAAGGTCACTTCCAACTCTATGATTTTATGAAAGGGAATGTGGAAACAGCCATCTGCTACTTTGTGATCAAGGGGGGAAAGATCCTCCTCACTTGTAGCATCTACTGCCCAGCAAGTGTGGATTGAGTAACTTCTACAGTTCTTAACTAGTCCCTATTTATGTAGAGATCATCAGTGCAAACCAATCACAAAAGCATAATTATAGATTATACACCTACAAGCATGAATTCCAGTCAACATTGTCACTTAACCTTTCAAGTCCATGTTTGGAGAATAATGAAGTATTTGGAGAATAATGAAGTAACTAGAAACAGCAACTTTTTTTCATCACTAGGAAAACCCTTTCTAGATAATTACATTACTCTTGAAATGTTTCGTCCCCATTACTCCACCCCATAACTTCTAGCAGGTAGCGATATTAATTATAATTTATTACTTGCAATCTCTTGTAATAACTTCACTTGAGGTTTCAGTGCTGCTTTGGTCAGACTGCACAAGCATTACAAAACCTTCTGCCCAAAGATCGAAGTATATCTCCTACCGGAGAGCGTTTGCTGATTCTGCTGGCTCTACTGGCTCTGCTAGCCTCACTGCTGCCAACCATGTTCTCCTTTTATTTTGCTTAAGGACCTGATCCCTTTTAATTTTTAAAGGAACTGATTGCTCTTGTCTTAGTGCATGAGAGTGGCAAGAGCATCTGTGACATCACAATCCATGTGCTATGGGTTTGAGTGTTCTTAGACAGACAAAGGAGAGAGAAAATGCATCACATCCTGAGCCAAGAAGTGATCATGAATCACATTAGAAAGAGAACTTCTAAAAATCTCATGTGCTTTTTAAATCTCTCATGAACTAGCTGTACAGTTTTCTGTTGCTTCAGAACCTAGAAAGCCTGTTTGAACAAAGGTAAAAGTGGAAATAAATGTGTGTGTATGCCAGAGAGCTAGGATGTAATGGTACACAGAAGTGGACATGTTGTAAATCCATAAGTATTTATGGACTACAATTACTATCATCCCTCAGCAATGGCGATCCTGGCTAGGTCTGATGGGAGATGAGGTCAAAGAACACATGGATAATGTCTTGTCGAAGGCTTTCATGGCCAGAATCACTGGGTTGTTGTGAGTTTTCTCAGGCTGTATGGCCATATTCCCGAAGCATTCTCTCCTGACGTTTCGCCTGCAGATCTCACAACCTCTGAGGATGCCTGCCATAGAAATGTCAGGAGAGAATGCTTTGGGAACATGGCCATACAGCCCGGAAAACTCACAACAACCCAACACATGGAAAGCCTCAAGTAATCCCTTCCTACTGTAATATATTTAAGATAGCAACATTGGTCACATTTTGAAAAGCAACGTAACAGTGAATGGCAATCTCATTGTTTTTTCTTGTGTCATCTCTTTCAAACGAGAATCTCTCCACTCCAGCGAAAGATCATGCCTGTGCTTTCATTAAAGCATGCTAGCACAATGAAAAATGGAACAACTAATGCCACAGGCCAAGATCTGAAGAAGAACCAAGAGTCATGTTTGTCAGCCCTTAGAAAAAAGACAATATAGCAAAGTGCTTTTGAAACGAAGGGGATCTCAAAAGCATGTTGATATAGCACAATGCTTCCTGTTCAAAGGCAAAATGACAAAACTAATTGAACACTCAAAAATTGTGGCAAGGACCTAAAGCATTTATTTACATCTTTCCCAGAGGTGTAAATTAGTTTTCTCACCAAAAGTCTAGTTGTCATTATGTTTTTGATGTGCCTCTTTTACTTGACCGTGGAAATTTGCATGCTACGTAATTTTATGTTAGGTTTTCATGTTTCGTAAGGCATTGAATTTTGCCGTGAATATGTATTGTCGAAGGCTTTCATGGCCGGAATCACTGGGTTGTTGTAGGTTTTTCCGGGCTATATGGCCATGTTCTAAATGCCTCTAGAACTTTGCCGTGAATATGTTGGAAACCGCTTTGAGTCCCCCCCAGGGGTGAGAAAAGTGGTATATAAATAAAGTAAATAAATAAATATTATTTTTTCAAGAAATCTGACTTGACCATGTTGGTCCACACCTTAGTTACTCTTTGATTGTAAGTGAACTATAAATTCCAGCAACTACAACTCCCAAATGTCAAGGTCTATTTTACCCAAACTCCACCAGTGTTCACATTTGGGCATATTGAGTATTTGTGCCAAGTTTGGTCCAGATCCATCATTGTTGAGTCCACAGTGCTCTCTGGATGTAGGTGAACTACAACTCCAAAACTCAAGGTCAACGCCCACCAAACCCTTTCAGTATTTTCTGTTGTTTCATGGGAGTTCTGTGTGCCAAGTTTGGTTCAATTCCATTGTTGGTGGAGTTCAGAATGCTTTGTTGTAGGTGAACTATAAATACCAGCAACTACAACTCCCAAATGACAAAATCAATCCCCCCACCCCCCCCCAGTATTCAAATGTGGGCATGTTGGTTTTTTGTGCCAAATTTGGTCCCATGAATGGAAATACCTCCTGCATATCAGATATTTACATTACAGATATTTACATAACAAAATTAGTTATGAAGTAGCAACGAAAATAATTTTATAGTTGGGGGTCACCATATGAGGAACTGTGTTAAGGGTTTGCAGCATTCAGAAGGTTGAGAGATACTGCCATAGAGCAACTAAAGAAGGATTTCAGTGCAGTGATATATGCATAAAGAATCCATTCCATCCAAATAGTGATTTATAAGTTTTAAAACATGTAACCAAAGTTAGACAGGCCCCCACCCACTTCTTTTTGTTTTCCATGTTTTCTGGCTCATAGCAACCTGTAGTGTGTCCTGGGACTGAACATTTCCCATGAATACTGGTAGTTGTCCTCCCAAGCTAAGATCTACTGAAATTCCCTGAGAATTGTTGAACATGCCTTCTTAGTGAAGCAGACTAGACTCATTGTCTTCTGTGCAAAAAAAGAATTTGCCTTGCCACCTCCCTCCCTCCCTTTTAATGCACCTTCCTTAGTCATCAGTGTGTCTTCGTGGGTTCTCCATTTTAACTGGTTTCCCAACTAGTCTGAAATGAAGAGTGAAATACACACCTCCTCCAAAGAGATGTCAGATTCTACTAATCCAGTCAAAAACTTTGAATGGCGTCCACCAATCATTTTGCATGTCAAGGTCTCCTTATCTTTGGTTGTTGTGATGTAGCATCAGGAGGTGTTTAGATGCTGGTGTGCTTTGTCTTCCAGGATCTATTCTGCTCCTTGTGCCATGGCAAGTTGTCTCCCACCAAGTCCTCAGAGGCAGGGGGGCAGGTGTATCTGAACTGCCCCTTGTTCACCCACTGATGGTTGTGATGCAGGGTCATTACTGGCATTATGATAACACGGTGCCAGCTCCCAATCAGAGGGGCTAGTCTAGATATAAAGTAGCAGTCAGCAGTAAATAGTTTTGAGTTGTAGTTTTCTCTCTACAATGATAGCCCATATACTATGCTTCAGTACCAAGGAATAATGTAAAATAAAAGCACCATGTATATGTATTGTCGAATGCTTTCATAACTGGACTCACTAGGGTGTTGTGTGTTTTCTGAACTGTATAGTCATGTTCTGGCAGCATTTTCTCCTGATGTTTTGCCTGTGGCTGGCATGAAGATGCTAACCACAGATGCAGGCAAAATATCAGAAAATGCTGTTATACAACGAGCATACAGCCCAAAAAACACACACCACCTCACCCTTTGTTTAAAAGCATTTCGTCACATTTCTGCTAGCTATTCTCTTAAAACAGGGCCCCCCGGTGGTGCAGTGGTTAAACCACTGAGCTGCTAAGCTTGCTGACCGAAAGGTTGCAGGTTCAAATCCGGGGAGCAGCGTGAGCTTCCTCTGTCAGTCCCAGCTTCTGCCAACTTAGTTCGAAAACATGCAGATGTGAGTAGATCAATAGGTACCGCTCCAGCGGGAAGGTAATGGCGCTCCATGCAGTCATGCCGGCCACATGACATTGGAGGTGTCTACGGACAACGCTGGCTCTTCGGCTTAGAAATGGAGATGAGCACCACACCGCAGAGTCGGACACGACTGGACTTAAATGTCAGGGGAAAACCTTTACCTACGCTCTTAAAGCCAAGCTGTGCAGATATTCAGTTCTCAGAATATACTCTTAAGAACTCTGGGTTCAAACCCTATACCTAGGTTTACTAGGTAGGCCTTCAATTCACAAATTAGCTGCATTCTCCCATTTATGCAACTAGGCTACATCCTCATTGTAGAGTTCTATCATTCTGTTCCTATGGAGCAGTGTGATAGAATTCTAGGCATACAGGTATCCCTCTTTAATTTTGAACTCATTTGACAGTCTCCCATGTTATTCCTGAACACGTTAATAAAATGTGTGCTAAACAATGCTACTGCTAGTTGGATTTATAAGTTGACCAACCAAACCTAAAGGTTGCTTACCAGTGGCTCCTCTTCATCCTGGAGGGAAGCGACTATTGGAGTACCTCAAAGTTGTCCTGGGCCTAGGGCTATTCAACATATTTATCAATGATTTGGGAATAGAACTCATTTGTTATCAAAGTTGCTGCCGATACCAAATTGGGAGAGAAAGCTAATACCGTAGAGGACAAGTTCAGAATCTAAAATGACCTTACAGATTAGAGCTGGGCCAAAACAAAATGAATTTCGAAAGGGAGAAATGTACATTTATGACAATAAAAATGAAATGCACAGATAATAGGACGGTGACACCCGACTTGGTAACAGTATAAGGATCTTGGAGTCTTAATAGACCACAAGCTGTATGAGTGAAGGCTGCATTAACAGGAAAGAGCTATGTTGCCTCAGAGTGTGGTGGAGTCTCCATCTTTGGAGATCTATAAAGTTTGGGAGTGCTTTGATTGTTGGACAGGATTATTCTTGTGGTGTCTTCCAAATTTATGATTCATTCCTGAAACTTCTAATTACTACTACATTTCACCTTTCTGAATGCCTAGCCATCTGTTCCAGCCTGGCTTGAGAGTCTGTAGTAGTTACCCTTAACGACATAGTCCCAAGTATACACTGACTTTGCTTGAAATGAGGTAGTCTGTTTAAACCAAAAAAAAAAAACCTCAAGTCCCCAGAAGCCACTGTGCATTGTGGGGACAGCCAGCAAACCGTTTTGAGATGAGTCTGGGTTTTTGGTCTTGTGCAGACAGGCTGCAAGTCATGGATCTCCTTCACAAATATAAACATCCTTAGTATATTGCTACTATTCCTTTTTTGTTTGGAAGTTCTCGCTGAAACAGGTTATACACCCTTGTATGACTTATATTCTAATCTCAGGACTCATCTCACCAGGTTTCAATGATGCCTATTATATCATATTAGCATTACTCTGTCAAGACTTTAAGTTCATCTAGTTAATCTCCCATGTTCTGTGCATCCATGTAGGGCCATCTAAGACCACATCCATGTAGGACCATCTAAGACCTGGCTGCTTACTCAAGTTTTTCCCCACTTCCATTACTGAATTCTTTTACCATAGATCCAGATCTTTCTATGGCTGTCAGTAATAATATTATTTCCATCATTTGATGAACTCTTTTATAACAGCCTGACCCCAAGCATTGTAGGGTCTTTGTGAGTCTAAA